TTACAAGGCACTCAGGGTCTGCTGCGGTGAAGGCTGATTTAACAAGTCTACAGCCCCTTTGAAGATGGCTAAAGCGAGTAGACCCTGCTTCATGCTGGCAATTGTACATCCTTGTTTTCACAGACCAAAGATAATTTCTTGTTTTGAAGAGGTATAAAAGAAATGATCTTTAGACCTAAAATGATGCAACCATTTTTCCCATCTATTTCTACACTGGAGCCAAAAACAGGAAAACAAAAATAAATATAAAATTAATCAAAGAATTTTAACTCTGGAAAGGACTCTATATTTTATTTAATCCAATATCTTAATTAAAAATTTAAAAAGCTAAACACAGAGAAATTCAGATATTTATACTTCTTCTAGATCACAAAGCCAGAATCAACAATATCAATTTTCCAGACCTTGGGAAAGACTATGGTTAAAAAAGGAAAAAGAAATAGCACTAATACATACAGAGAAAAAAAATTCACTGAAAAATAGCATATACTATAGAAAAGTATTTTGCTAATCAGTCCTTTTGTCCACAAAGAATACTTCTGTCCACAAAGAATACCATGCTTTCATTAACGTTAATGAAAATGTTTGTAGGGTTTTCTAATTTAACAATCGGATTGTTCTAATTTCCAGATCCTTTACCCTTGCAGCATCAACTGATTCCATACAGTTGGCAATGAGAATTGTTCTGAGGGTCTTCTCCCGGATATTCCAGTATGTATGGGTGACACTGGTCATTAACAGGTGTTCTTAGCAGTTGCAGCATGGCTGTTGAGAGGTGCACATTCACACATGTTGTCTCCCATCACGACTTAGGCAAATGCAGCAGGTGCACTTAAATCTGACATAGTTTACTGCATCCAATTCTGCTATTTTGACAGGATCTCTGCACTTTCCCATCTAACTGCTACCCCACCACCATCCCGATGGATCTGATCCAGTCTTACAGATGCCCCGGATCAGCACGCACATGTACACCCCCTACATACGCATATGTGCACACACACACTAAATTTGAATTTAAAATTAACTGGGTTCCAATTCTGAGCAGGGATATATATACACACACACACACACACACACACACACACACACACGTGGGAGAAAAGACCTGGCAACTGCTTTTATACAGTTTACAGCCTAGGAAACCCTACGGGCAGTTCTGCTCCGTCCTATAGGGTCGCTATGAGTTGGAAGAGACTCGACGGCACACAACAACTTGTACGTGTGTGTGTATATATATACACACACATATATAATACACACACACACACGCACACACACACACACACACACACACACATATAGTTGGCCCTCTGTATCCGCGGGTTCTGCATCCATGGATTCGACCAACCACAGATCGAAAATATTAAAAAAAAAAAGTTCCAAAAGGCAAAACTTGAATTTGTCCAGCACCAAGCACTACACTGAAATGCACGTGAATGAAGTGATGCGTTGGCACACCCTGCTGTACCCTCCCGCCATTTCGCAGATCCTCAGTCTCTCCAGCACTCGTTGTTTGAGCATTGTTCGCCTCTTGTCATTATTTGCTAAACAATACAGCCCTGTATAAAAGCTATTTACATAGCATTTACATTGTATTAGGTATTATAAGTAATGATTTAAAGTATATGGGAGGATGTACATAGGTTATATGCAAATATACACCATTTCATACAAAGGACTTGAGCATCTGAGGATTTTGCTATTCTCAGGGGTCCTGGAACCAATCCCTTGGATACCAAGGGATGACTGTATACATATATATCACCAAGATATGTAATATATTCACATACATGTGTCTATTTCGCTATCTTCACAGTGATATACAATCACTCAGATAAAGACCACATAGTTTTAAACATTCTTACATTCACCACAGAGGGTAGTCAATGAAAGCTGGTCTTCGTTAGAGCCTGTCCCCACTGCTCTGCACTTTCTAAGGCCACCTTAGTGACAAAGAAACAGTGCGTGGGTTTTGGACCCAGCTACAGTGGGGCTTAAATCCTAGTTCTGCCATTTACTTTTCATGTGACCTTGAGAAAATTACTTAACCTCTCAGAATAAGAATTTCCTTATTTCCAAAATGAGGGTACTGATACCTACTTCATGGAGGTATAAGGCTTTGAGGTAATATAAGTGAATGGGTACTACTTGGTGGTGCTTAGTGTGATGGTTAAGGCTGTGTGTCACCTTGGCTAGGCCATGATTCTCAGTGGTTTAGCAGTTATGTCATGATGTAGTTTGGCACTTACGTAATGATGTAGTCATTCTCCATGGTGTTATCTGATGTGATCAGCCAGTCAGTTGTAAGGGGAGTTTCCTTGGGGGTGTGGCCTACATCTTATATATATAAGACCAGGACCAGGACCCAGGACATAAATCGCAGGACCTAGGAACCAGGGCTCAGGACTTAGGGTCTAGACCCAGGACCAGGACCCAGGACCAGGTCCCAGGATTAGGAACCAGGACCCAGGACTCAGGACCCAAGAACCAGAATATATATATATGGACTTTCTGGCAAAGTTCACTCACTTTCTTTGGATCCTGCATCCAACTCGTCATCATCTAACTTCTAGTTCTTAGGACTTGAACTGCTGTATCGCCTGCATATCTTGGGATTCGTTGGCCTCCGCAGCCTGTGAGCCAGCAGCATGCAGTCTTACCCCCTGATCTTGGATTTGTCAGCCTCTGCAGCCTGTGAGCCAGCAGCCTGTTGTCTGACCTGTCAATCTTGGGTTTATCAGTCCCTGCAGCTACGTGAGTCACGAGAAGCCTCCAGCCTGATGCCTGACCCATGGACTTGGGACTTGCCAGCTTCTACAACTGTGTGAGCCATTTCCTTGAGATAAATCTCTCTCTCTCTCTCTGTATATATATATATGTATTTATAAACATATATATACATATACATGCTTCTCTAGAGAACCCAGCCTAAGATACTAAGTAAATAATAGATATTATGGTAAAGGTGATGATGAGGGGAAAAAGGAAAAGGGGGAGGGGAGGAAAATGGTGGTCCCCACTTCCCGAATGCCTTCTGTATTTCAGAATTTCTTAGCCAGGCTTAGCAGAACATGATTGTTAGTCTTTATCTGGGGAGTATTAAACTAGAAGTAGTGGGAAGAGAACTAGTGGGGTGGGGGTCAATGAATGGCTAGCACTTAATATACTTAGTATGTGATTATTATTATAATATGTGAGTTTATATATATATATACATACTCATATCCCTTCCCCCACTGGGAAAGGGGTATTTCACAATAGTGAATTCAGCATCTTTTGAGGATTCCAGGCTATTTTTGTTGCTTAGCAGGACTGGACTTCACAAGGCAGAATGAACAAATTCCTGTGTCCCCCACAGTGGCTAATCATAGAATTTCCAGTTACAGCAGCAGGTCTTGGCTGTTTGCTCCCTCTGGAAACTCTAGTAACTGTGAGATCACAGCACAAATGCCCAGCTACTTTCTGGAGTCACAGAGTCAGAATAAACAGCCAAGCCACTAGCAGACCTGCTGTTATGGTCTGAGCCATCCAAAGTACAACAAGGAAGGAGGAAGCCCCAACCTACCCTGAACATGCCCAGAAGGAGAGAGCCATTTAGGACCTGCCTAAGATGACATTCTGTTTGCAAACACATGCTAGCTGCCATACCAATCCACAAAAAAAAATCTATAGCAAAGCCTAAAGGCAAATGACTAATGTGAAAAGTGGTCTGTGCATCATTTCTGTGATGACGCCGCAGGCATCAATTAAGTACACTGTTCTGCAGACCTGTTCTGAAGCATGGCCCTCTGGCACTACCCAGCAAGCTGTAGCCAATGGCTGATAAAACACAAGTGATCATAACCATAAAGAAATTTAGCAGCCCTCTCCTTGCTCAAAAGCAACCAAGGCCCACGCTGATAGTGAACCTGGAAGATCTCCATAAGAGGAGAGAAAGGAAAAACCTGCATTGGAAGCCAGTACCCTTCTTCCTTACGCATAGAAAGCAAAGATCTGGGGTTGCAGGAGATCATCCTTTCAGCCAGCAAAAAGGCAGACTAGTCCAGGATACGCTTGGGAGTTTGCCTGGTAGTCTAGGGGCTATCTTCAATTGCTACGTCCCCGGGTGAGAGACATGATTGGCAGTACTTGGTCCCCTGCTCTGAGGAGTGATTTCCAAGTACCAGCATCATAGTATTTTGTCCAGCATGCTACGGCTAGATCACTGTAGCCCAAACTTCTTCCCTAGAATTCATGCTTTAACCAGTTTTTGAAAGGAAGGAAAAGGACACATTTAACAAATCAAACAAGAGTGATGTCAAGGTATAAAACGTCCAGCAGAGAGAGTGGTTGCAGCAGAAGTGCCTTTCAAGGCTACAGTTCTAGATCAGGCAGGCAGACACCTGTGTGTATACAGACAAAGCTTTAAGCATCACCGCCTCATCACACCTAACAACTGCTTGTGAGGAGAGCTCACATTCTATTTCTGGCTTTCCCAACAACAAAAATATGTGTCTTCATATTCAGTCCTGGTTCTGAGCCTCTTCTCTATTGCTAGTCTATTTTTTGTTTCTTTCTCCAACATACGAGGTCAGATAAGTTAGAAAGGAAATATTTTCTAGTTTTAATTTTGATTTAGATCTAAAATTGTTAATGATTTTTTATTCACTTACCCTTGATCTCTCCTTTCTTCTTTAAGTAGTTCAAGTAAATGCACTCATCACATGCTCTGGCCTCAGCATTAAGAAGATAATATTCTTAGAATGAGACTATCAAGTAAAAAAATACAATAGCCGTGCTTCCATTCTCATGAGTCCCCTTTGCCAATGATGCAGTGTACTTAAATCTCTTCAAAAGAGCTGCTTCAGTGTTAATCTTTTGGTTTGGAAATAAAAAGGGGTTTAGTTAAGGTCACTGACAATTATTTTCTCAGCACAATAGAAAAGCAGCCCAGCCCATTAACAACAGTAAGATGGCAGAATTAACCACAGTAGGAACAAGTAGGAATAGAAGAATACCTGGGATTGCCAGATTGGAAAGAGGGACGTGGTGGAGGTGAGGCGGGAGCGAGGCCATCCAGTTGGCATTGCAGACCTCCAATGATGTCTTTGTCCCGCTGGGGTTTGGGGAGCAGATAGTCCCCATCCTGAGTTTCCTCCTCGATTTCCTCACTGCTAGCATCCCTCTCGTCAACAGACTGGGTTCAGTCCAGCGCCACTCACTCAGTGATCATCACTGCCCGGGCTCTGTAGACATTTCACAGCCACCTTTGTTACGCCCGTCTTTCCAAAATGCCTTTCTGCCAGGGAGACGGGCAAATGGGTGGCTCCCTATCTCCGCAGCACTTGAAGTCCCCACCCTCGCCGCCCCAGTGGCTGCTCCACTCCCTTAATCTGCTCAGTCCCAGCCACGTTAAACTTCTTACGTTCCCTTCTAGAGCTGGGAGGAAGGTAGGCTCCAAGAGATAAATGTCATAGAAACCGAGCGTCCGCGGAGCAGCTACGCCCGGAGCCACTCACACGACAGGTGCCCACACAGCACATGCCGGAGGATCCACACACATGTGCGCGCCTGGCACACACCTCCAGCCCGACTCAGGCCTCTATATTTGCCACTGGGCGGGTCTGTACTCTCGGCCTGCCTACTAGCGCTCCCCGGCTTCTCTGAACCACTCCCTTACCCTGTGGCTTCCTGAAAGGGGCTCAGTAGTGGAAACCGCCGCCCCGGCGCCCCGCAGCCCCGCCCCGCACTGCCGGGAGGATTTGCCTGGCAGGGCGGCCCGCGATTGGTCGGTGGCAGGGTGCGCTCCGATTGGCCCGCGCCCTCCTGGGGCGGTCCCTCGGCTCATCCCGCAGCACTTCCGCCCTCGCTGGTGGTCTCCCTCCCTCGGTTATTCTTGCGTTCCTGTGTGTAGACGGTATCAGCTGCACCGAGTGCAGACCTGGACACTTGCAGGCATTGGCCAGTCCGACGTCTCATAGGCTTTCTTCGCTCTGCCTTTTTATAGGCAGTCAGCACTCAGATGTTAAACTTAACTCCGCGTGTTTCCTTCTTTCCGTCTGTCTCTAACAGTTGCACAGAAAGTAGATTACATTTTCAGTAAGACACAGAGGCATCAACAAGGAGAGGAAAAGAGGTGAGAAGGGTGTTGTATCTTATATCCGGATGAAGACATCAAGGATGGTTTGTACTTCAAGCGTTACATGATTAAGACTCACACACTTCGCAGCAGTTTAGTGCTATGATTCCCAGTTTACAGATGAAGAAATAATACTGATACTGAACTGATGCTTGCATTGTCCTGTGGTTTGGAACCCTCTTCCAAATTATTTGTCGCCTTTGCTCTTCACAGTGCTATCAGAAGGCAAGGAGGGTTAATAGATGAAATGGAAGTCCAGGGACATTCAGTCAACAATTTCAAGCTGTGGCACTATTTGAAAATTCCATTCCAAGCCTGGAGGCTTCCAGGCATACAAACCCATTTCCCTGCTTTCTACATTCCTTGCAATGTTTCTTACTCCTTCACATGGTACTGTCCCTTGTCAGAAAACTACGTACCCACATCCATGTGTCGGGATTAAAAGAGAGATGACTAAAGTAAGGCTGTTTGCCAATCAACTTGGATTTCTCTACTTAAAAAAAAAAATGTACAGAGAAAATCTACTTTAAAATAAAATTCTACAATGGAGAGAAATTTAATAAATTAGTCTCAAATGCAAGAAAATTCATTGTTATATTTTTTCTTTCTTTAGAAGGTTTAAAAAAAAAGCAAAAAACTTACTATAGCCTGCCCAAACTGGAGGAATAACAAATTATTTGCCTAACTTACACTTCAGTTTTCCCATGTTTAGAAGCGAAAACTCCCCAAAATAGGTAAAATGTAGAATTCCTTAATATCTACTTGGGTAACTTAAATTGTTTTTTCTTTCTATAAAATCAAGTGCTACTGCACAGAAGTTCTGTGTTGTCACTAATCCTTTATTCAAACTGGTAACTTGCACATTTTATAGTAGAACAACAAAAATAATATTCAATATATACAGCCTTTATATGGACTTTATATCACAAGGCACAGTGATAACGCAATCTAGTCTTCATAAGAATTTGTGCACAAGAAGACACCAAGCAGACAACATGTGAACATTACAGTGAAATGACACCACAGGTCCAGTGGAATTTCAGCATAATACAAAAATACTCCTCAACTGCAAATGACATCTTCCTAAACAGCCAGACATCATTCAGTAGTAGTTTACCCAGAGCCTGAAGCAGAGATCTGCTGTATAGTTGTCTCGTAAGTGAGGTAACGTCTGCAGGTAAGTTTGCTATCCCCTGTTTCAAATGCAAAATTTCTGCATCAGAAGCTTCGCAGACACTGTCTTTAATTTCAACCACTCCAGATTTGAAACTGTTCTGGGTCTTGCCACTAAGTTCTTTTTGATGCCAGTGTTCTCACTTGAGAGACCAATCTTGAATGTTAGTCATCTGCACTGAGAAAGAAGTAAGAGCAGAGTACCATATCTGGGGCGTTATGCTTTTCAAGTTCAAAATGTCTTTTCCATGTCGTGTTAATAGGTGAGGACAGTTTTTGCGTGGCATCAAATTCACTATCTAATGCTTCTACTTTTTTTTGTGAGATAATGTTTCTATTTATTCTCATTCTTAAACTATACTTCAGACTTGTGTGAAATTTTAATCAACATTTATGGTACTTATCCGTTGCCTTTTAGCATAAGAAGACTGAAGTTGGCTATTAGTCTAATTGTTCTTTTTTTATAAATAATGTTTTTTCTCCTTGATAACTTTTTTCTAAATTTTATTTATTTTGTTGTTGAGACTATACACACAGAACACACCAATTCAACAGTTTCTATATGTACAATTTAGTGACACTGATTACATTCTTCAAGTTGTATAACCAGTCTTACCCTCCGTTTCTGAGTAATGCTTCTACTTTTATCTGCATGGCTTTGCCTTTGATCCAAAGCTTGGGTGGCAATGCACAGAAATTCACTTCCAGAATTTTAACCACTGTTGCATGTCCATGTTTAAGTTCAACTGGAGAGTAGATTGGGCCCTTGGAACCTACTATTCATCTTCTCCATTAGATGACTTTCCTACCACTCTGTCACTGGTCTCTGATGTTCTTGGAGAGTTACTGGAGGAGTGGTTGACTTTAATAGAGGTGGAGAGTGTGAGTAGCCAGGGAAAGAATTTCCTATGTAGTTTAGATAGATGGGCATTGGATAGGAGCCTCTGCCATCTCTTGGCTCTCTTGTATAATTCTCCAGCTCCCTTGGCTCTTATTTTATGATCTGGAATTTATTTTGGGGACTTCTGCAGATATTTTGAACAGGACTCTCCTGAGTGTGTTCTACTGAGGACACTTCTGAAAAGTCAGACAGAGAGCTCTGTAGGGAGTGCTTAATAATGACAAATACAGCTGCTCGCCACCGTCGAGCATTCGTGCTCATCCACACATGAGCTAACATTAGATTTAGAAGTTGGATAGTCTTAAAACAACACAGCTGTAGAATTACTGAGTTTCTGAATCTCTTGAGCATATGCTGTGGCGCTAATTAAACCAAACGTTAATTTTAGCGAAAACAGTTCAGCTTTTTTTTTTTTTTTTTTTTTTTGGTTTGAACAAAGAGAAGTTTATTTCCTCACAGTCAAAGTAGGCTAAAAGTCCAAATTCAGGGTGTCAGCTCCAGGGGAAGTCTTTCTCTCTCTGTCGGCCTTCTCATCAGTGTTACCCCGGACTAGGAGCTTCTCAGCGCAGGGACCCCGGTCCAAAGGACGCGCTCTGCTCCTGGCACTACTTTCTTGATGGTATGAGGCACCCCCAGTTCAGCTTTTAAAGTGTCGTTTTCTTCTCCCAGTGCAATTACTTTGTTCTCTAAAATCAGGTCATTGAGTCGACGTTTCTCACGAGATCTTTTGGCAGCTTCACTATTTTTCTGCCTTTTTTTCCCAGTACACCGCATCTTTGTTTTCATTGGAAATGAACTCCGCTTTCTCCTGCATGCTGAAGATTTGTTTTTCCCCAGACTTCCTTCGTTTAGTAGTAGCTCCCCGTCGTCAAGTCTTCAAATATTTCAGTTAAAGCAGAATTAAGTACTCTCATCTTGTCTACATTGCTACTAGTTTTCAGGCAATGCCTGCTCCTTTTTGATGGTCTGCCTTTTCTCAGCTGCATCACAAACAACTTTTACCTATATGTATGGTGGAGGAGAAAAAATTATTTTCCAAGTATTCTCAAACTATTTAAAAACTGTGGTTCAAAATCCATTCATATACTTCCTTTCGGTTCTAAAGTCCAGGACAAATCTCTCAGTTTCCACTTGTTGAATGGAGTAGGTGTCTTCTAGGTTATCTGCAATACATTAAAGGAAACAGTTACCCACTTGATAAATATTGATTACTAATTACGTACAAGGGATGTTGCCAAGCATTTAGGATATGCAGACATGAACACGTGTCTGGCAGTTTGTCGTACTGTGATGGCTTGCATGTTGCTGCGATACTGGAAAATTTGCCACCAGTATTTCAAATATCAGCAGGGTCACCCTTGGTGAACTGGTTTCTGCTGAGCTTCCAGACTAAGACAGACTAGGAAGAAGAACTTGGCAGTCTACTTCTGAAAAAAACTGGCCAGTGAAAACCTTATGAATAACGGTGGAACATTGTCTGAGATAGTGACAGGAGATGGCCCCTCAGGTTGGAAGGCACTCAAAATATGACAGGGGAAGAGCTGCCTCCTCAAAGCAGAGACCAGCTCAATGACATGGATGGAATCAAGCTTTTGGGACCTGCATTGGCTGATGTGACATGACTCAAAATGAGAAGAAACAGCTGCAAACATCCAGTAATAATCAGAACATGGAATGTAAGAAGTATAAATCTAGGAAAATTAGAAGTCATCAAAAATGAAGAGGAACACATAAAGATCAATATCTTAGGCATTAGTAAGCTGAAATGGACTGGTATTGACCATTTTGAATCAGACAATCATATGGTTCACTATGCTGGGAAGGACAAATTGCAGAGGAATGGCGTCGTGTTCATCATCAAAAAGAACATTTCAAGATATGTCCTAAAGTATAATGCTGTCAGCGATAGGATAATATCCATACACCTAAATGGAAGACCAGTTAATATGACTATTATTCAAATTTATGCACCAACCACTAAGGCCAAAGATGAAGAAATCAAAGATTTTACCAACTTCAGCAGTCTAAAAGTGATCAAACATGCAGTCAAGATGCATTGATAATTACTGGTGACTGGAATTTGAAAGTTGGAAACAAAGAAGAAGGATTGATAGTTGGAAAATATGGCCTTGGTGATAGAAACAACGCCGGAGATTCCATGACTGAATTTTGCAAGACCAGCGACTTGTTCACTGCAAATACCTTTTTCCAATAATGTAAACAGTGTATAACTTGAACCTCGCCAGATGGAATACACAGGAATCAAATCAACTGCATCTGTAGAAAGAGACAATGGAAAAGCTCAATATTATCAGTCAGAATAAGGCCAGGGGCTGACTGTGTTACAGACCATTAATTGCTCCACACAAGATCAAGTTGAAGAAAATTAAAACAAGTCCACAAGAGCCAAAGTACGACCTTGAGTATATCCCACCTGAATTTAGAGACCATGTCAAGAATAGATTTGATGCATTGAACGCTAATGACCCAAGACCAGACAAGTTGTGAAATGAGATCAAGGA